CCACTCCTCTCCAGTGCCCCCCCATCTCCAAGTCATCCATGACCAACTCAAGGCACCTATCCTTCTCCTGCGACCATACCACCTGCCTTTTCGCCATCGCATCGATCCAGTCCTTCCCGACCCCTACCCACTCCGGGTCCAAGGACACTTCCACCTGCTCCTCACTTCCTTCGACCTTACCGATCCTCGGCTCCTCATCAGCTCCTCCAGCCTCCTCATCTTTCTGTTTTCCTCGCAGCCTCCTTCTCCTGGTCCATAGCTCACCCACCACCGGGATGTCCACCTTCTGGTCCCTCGGCTCGGGCACGACCTGCGACACCGTGTGCCTTGGGATCCATCACCCTCAACCCGAAGGTCATGTCCGGGCACGGCCCCAGGTAGGTTTCGTTCTGCGCGATCGCCTCCCAAGCCTCTCTCTTCCATCTCCTCTTCTTCACCACCACCTTTTGACCGAAGACGCAGCTGTGGAGAACCCATCTCTCGCATGATCTTCCGACTCCTGATCTCCACCGCTTGCAAAGCTGCCCCGTGCCACAAATTGGCGTTGGCCCCCGCCGCCAACAGCAGCGCCCGCGCTTTCCGCTTCACCCAGCCAACCGCTGCCTCCGCCCGGCCATTGGCTTGCGGCTCATCTGGGCTCGACAACGTCTTATACAGCCCATGACTCACCGCCCACCTCCTCAACGCTGTCGACACCAGCTCCCGTCCTCGATCAGAATGAAGTCTCGTCACCTCAAAACCCCACCACCGAAGCTTGGCAACCATCGACTGCGTCGCCGCAATCACCTCCGCTGCTCTCCTGGTCTTCAGCGGCTCCACCAACATGATGGCCCTTGTGACCACACCTTCCAGCCCCCCCGGAGCTGGATGCTCTGCTTCCCTTCTCTCATCCTCCTCGCCTTCTACCCTCACGGCTCCACCTTCTACCCTCACCTCTCCTTTATCTTCACCTTCTATCCTCAAGGCCCCTTCCTCATCAAACATCTCCTCAAACGGGTCCTCACTCGGGTCTTCTCCTTCTCCCCCGGCTTCCTTTTCCACTTCGTCTTCCTTGACCATGTTCTCCGCCACCGCCGTGACATAGGAGCCCACCAACAAATAGCGATGCCCCTCCTTAGATGTCTTAAACGGACCCGTCACGTCGATTGCCAAAGTAGCCAAGGCCGGGTGACTTCTCTTCTTATGGCTCCTTCCTCTGAGCCCACCCTGGATGCAAGCCCTGCAGTCTCGGCGAAATGGGGTATGGCCATTCTCGACGTGGCTCTTCCACATTTCCTCCGCCGATGCCTTTGCCATTCTTGACGCCGCCACAACCTGTCTTTTGATCGCCTCATCCAGCGCCGCCACCAACCCGGCGCCCATTCTGCCCAGCTGCTAGATTCGCGGTTCCCCGCTCCTCCAACTCCAGGTCCTCTCATGCCGTCCAGCTGCCGTAGGTCCTTGATGCTGGTCAGCAGCATCGTCGGCTTCCTCTTTATGTGGCCCATCGCGCCCTGGTCGAACTTCACCCTGATGAGTCCCAGCACCTCCTCCAACGCCGTGACCTCCGGCCAGTCCCAGATCGAAGGCGGTTCGCCCCAGGGCCTTGGCCTTCTCCCACTCCTCTTCACTGACAAAGCTCCTCGGGTCCTCCGGGTGCTCCTTGACCATCCATGCCTTCAGACCCACCAGCTCCCGGCCACCGTTCGCCAGCACCGCCAGGATCCACATGCGCAGCATCACAACACACTGTCGCCCTCCACTTTCCTTGCTTCAGCGTCGCTCAGCTCCTCGTAGCCAAACCGCTCCTCTCCTCTTCCTCGGACCGGATACGGGCCAGGCTCGAAGTGCCGGCAGTATAAAGTACGTCCTACACGGCGGTCCACCCGTGACCCCCTCCATCCTTCCTTCCGCCGCCAAACCAGCCAGGTACCCGAAGGTGTCATTTAGCAAATCCTGGCCCGACAGGACCACCGCAATGACCTCCCTGTCCCACTGCCCATAGTTGAACTTCTTCGCACTCTTCCCGGCGAAGAGATGCAGGATCAACCCTGTCGCCTTGGCATGCCTCCTCCTCGCTGCCCGGTTCCAGGCGATTCCCTTTCCTTCTCCTGTGCCCAGAGCCCTCTCCAGCAGCGCCACCGGCACCTCCGGGAAGAGCTGCTCGAACTCCCCCATCTCTCCCTTCTTCCATGCCTCCGCCACCCTGCCGCACAGGCCCTTCTTGACGTCCGGCTTCCTCATGCTCTTGGTCGCCACTGTAGCCGCCCTCCGGATGAACTCCTCCAGCTCCTCCACCAACCTCATGAGCCACCTCCGTCGGGACTTCCGGGCAAAACTGCCTCATCCTCACCGGCAACGGGCCTTGGCTCGCGTGCTCGATGCAGCAGATACCCTCCTCCCAGCGGATCCTGTAGCCTAGCAGGTACAACGCTCCTAGCGGCACAATGACCTGCGTGGCTTCCTTGCAGATCAAGGTGTGACCCTCCGTCATCTGCATCACCACCTCCCGACCATCCGCAAGCTCCACCATGCGGTCCTCCCCTGTCTCACCCTTCCGCGCTTGCCTGAGCCATGCGTGGCCCCTCCATCAAGAAGCCCCCAACTTTGGCACTCCCCGATCTTTGACAGCCTCGCCGCCTTGAGCTTCTTCATCCTGAGGCTCTTCAACAGCTGTGTCGCCTCCGCCATCAGCTTGTCCTTCCCACCGGTCTCCTCGACGGCGGCCTCCTCCATTTCTTCTTCCACCACCGGTTCCGCCGCATGGCTCTTTCCTCCGGCAGCTTTCCTCACAGCCCCCTTATTTCCCGGCGGGGTTCCGGCTCTCCTCTTGGCTCCTTCGCCTCCTCCAGCCGCAGCTTGGCCTCCTCCAGGTCCACCTCCTTGAGGTCCAGGCCGCGGGCACTCCGCCGTGCGATGCTCCAGGCTCCCGCAGTTCCAGCACCGCTCCTTTTGCCGATCCAGGCTGTCCCACACGTGGGCAAACTTGCAGTTCTTGCCAAACCTGCAACCCGCGTCGGTCGCGTACGCCCTTGACAAATCCACCGCCCTCGGCTTCCCGGGAGTCCCACCACCACCTGATGGCTTCCAGGGTCCAGCCTCCTCTTTTCCTGCACCGCCCATCGCCTTCACCTTGGGAGCAGCCTCCTTGCCGCCCTTTGCCAACTCCGCCGTTTCCGACTCCGCCTGGAGGTACTCCGCGAAGCTCTCCACCGCTTCCTGAGTCGGCCTCGTGTCCAGGTTCAGCTCCACCGTGGACATTCGATAGCTGCTCTGCTGATCCAGCTTCGACAGAGCCGCTGCGAACTTGTCCAGGGCAGACACCAACAACGTGGCATCCGGCAACGCCACTCCAAGCTCCAGCGCCCTTTTCCTCCAGTGCTTCCACGACCTCAGCTGCTTAGCCACCTCCGAAGCATTCCCGCCCTTGGTGTCCAGCAGCGCGTTCAGGATCTGCTGTCTTTCAGGGGCTCCTCCCGGCTGGTACAGAATGTACAGGCGATAGATGATGTTCACCATGCTCAACTGCCTGTTGGCCACCAGCTCCGTCTTGACGCTCTCTGGGAGCGCTTTGAGGACCATGGCCACCCCTCTCTGCTCAGTGCGAGGCAAGTCCATGCAGACCGGCGGAAGCTCCGGCTTCCACTCCGCATAGGCCTCCTTGGCACTAGCACACACCTCCTCCCACCACATCGCGCTGTAGGTCGAGATGTCCTTCATGTAGTGGTCGATCGTGGCCATCCAGTCCCTGAAGGTCAGCGGGCTTCCGTCCCCCACCAACTCCGGCAGATCCGTAGCCCGTCCGTCCAGTCTTGTTGGGCATCTCCTTGACCTCCGGCCGACTCTTTGGCTTCTGCTGCAGCAGGGGTGCCACTGGCGTTGCTGGCTTTTTCTCTGGTTTCCGGGCCTCGCCAACGTCCTTGGAAGTCGACCTCGACCTTGTCCACCTCGGTCTGCTTGCAGCCGGCTTCTCCTCCCTTGACGTAGACCTCGAGCGCCCCCATGCCGGCTTGTAACTCACCCCATCCATGACCCAACCATTTTCGGGATTCGGCCATTCATGATCATATGGGGGTCACCCGGCGTCATCTCCAGCTTTTGCCTCTTGGACCGAATTCCTGGAGGCGGTGGTGGAGGTGTTTCGGCTCCTCCTCCTGCTGCCGCGTGTGAAATTGCTGAGGCCGTTGTTCCAGCACCGTGATCTGATCGGTCAAGAGCTCCACGTGCTTCTCGGCCTGCCGCGCCCGTGATTCCCACAGCTCTGCCATCCTCCGGTTCTGCTCGGCCTCCGCCTCCACCACAATCTTCTCCAGCTCCAGTTGCTCCACCTTGTGTTGCAGCTCACTCCGCTGCCGCAACGCCTCAGCCAGGTTCATGTTGACCGCACCGTACTCCTCGATCATCACCCTGCTGAGTTCCCCCTCCAGACGGTCCTCAGGCGTCGCTGGCCTCCCCTTGTCTCCGGCGCTTCCTGCGCCATCCCAATCCTCTCCACCTCCACCTGAAAGCCCCTTGTTCCGCCAGCCCTCCTCCGGCGGACCCTCTCCTCCGATCCGCATCAAATCCCTCTTGACCGCAATGCCACCTCCCTTTTCTCATCCGCCAACCGCTCCTCCGGCGACATGAAGGCCCTGGCCCGATTCCTCTTTGCCGCTGCTTCTCCCTCCGCAGCCTTCAAAGGTGTCCTGACCGGCTCCTCCTCATCACCTGACTCCGGGACCGGTGGCAGTCCTTCCGGCCTCGCTTCACGAAGCCTCACCTCCTCCTGCACCCTCTTAGACCAAAAGGGATTTACCTCCGCTCCTGCCTTCGGGCCATCACCGGCCCTTTCCATAGAGCCCGATCTCCTGGATGCCGAAGGGGACCTCGTGGTACTCCCTGGCTTAGATGCCATAGAGCTCTGCTCTGAAGCGCTCCTTCGCCTAGAGGCCGTAGAGCTCGATTCCCTCTCCACCAAAGGCTCATCATCCATGCCCGGCCTGAGGGCTCTCTGTGACGTCTCCCTCGTCCTTGATGAGCTCCTCGCCGATCTTGCCGTTGATGCCTCCCTGGTGGATGCACGGCCATCTGCCGAGTGAACCTCCAGGGCGTCATCGCCCTCCATCGGCTCACCCATCTCAGGATCTTCTCCCTCGTCCGCCACCAGCTCGCCCCCGGCCAGTGCCCGGCTCTCCTCGACTTCCCTGCCAGGGCTTACCTGGCCGGACCGTCGCCGCCTCATCACCTCCATGTGCGCGAGCGGCTTGAGCTCATAACCTGCAAACCTCCGGGGCGCCTTTTCCTCCTTCAAAGCATTAAAGGGTCTGCGGGAATCGGTTCATCCGCATGGTCAACACGAGAAGTGCACACCTCATGCAAAAAGAATGCCGCAAGGAACAGAGTGCCATTTAAGGGCAGGTCCAGGTGCTTGTTTCAAGGCACCGATTCCTCTCTTTGCCACAACTCATATGGGGCAAACTGTGCAAAAGCAACTGATATACTAGTCTTAATCTTGCACCCATCACGTTCGGGGAAATCGAAGGTCCACCGAAGCCAGGGATATCACAGACAACTTGAAGCCCCACTCAAGTGCGCTCCCCGATTCGAACATGAACCCATGATGGAAGCTCGGAGACTTGGGAGAAACTCCGAGAACGGATCCTTCATGATGCCCTGCTGGCGAATTCTTGGTTGAGCATTGGGCACTGCTCTGGGCTCGCACCTTGACCCCAACATAACGCCGGAGCAATAAACCAAAGGCTGGCAATGAATCGATCGTAACAGAAAGTGGTACCAAGTATCATTTGAGTCATAATCAAACCTTGTATTAACATGGCCCACCCTGTAATCAAGAGTTACCAAAGTGAGCACACCTATTTATGGTTGGGATTTCCCTTACTAACCCGCATCTACCCGGGTTTTGACTGTGGCTCATTTGGTCCTTCTTGGGCCCTCCGATTGGTCTTGTGTATCAAGTTGACCTTTGCAGCTGCCGGCTGTGTACTATAAGGGTCGTTGTCAAACATGGAGTTGCGGGGTATGTACCAAATGTCCAAATTACGTCAGAAGCGAAACATCCAGCCCCTCAAACTGAGGACGGACGAGATCTTGCACCAGTTGTGATGGATGCAGCCCAGTGAATACTGGGATAAACCACCTACCAACATGTAGGATGTTGTCCTACCACAGAATACATTGATAGAGGCAAACTGACAAGGCTCTCTACATTACCTCTTCTACATTACCTCTTTATACATTAACCCACGAAAAGGAAACTCGCATTGAACTGGACCAGAGCGTGATGTTTGAACCAACCCAAAGGGGAAATATAGGGAACCCTAACCGATACCCTGGCAATCATTGCTCACATGGACCTTGCGTCAGCTGCCATGTTTGTGGGAGAGCAGACAACAGTGCAACTGCCCTTGAGGTTCAGCTTTCAACCATTGGGTTTAATGAGCGGGTTACGCATTGAGATTGCACCAGGCCCAAACTAGTCCGAGAACACGGGAAAGAGCATTGCAATGGCCAGGGTGCATCAAATTCCGTGGAGCTAAGCCCCGAAGATCCGTAAGCCAGTCGAAGAATTGAGGAGCCGAATGAGTTTTTGCTGAATCTAACATATTCCATCCCTGTTAGGGTCCCAAGTGTCTCTGTGTGTGTGTTCAATCAAAGCACGCTTCGGGCAGGTGTAGAATTGATGACTTGCTCCACACTCGGGGAAGAAAGCGAGGCCAACAGAGAGGCCAACAAGGTTGCCCTTTGTGGGGGATTTGCTTTGGTTTGCTCCCTGACTTGATCCCAAGAGCTGAATCTTATATCTAAATTCAGAAACCTTTTGTTGGCTCCACTGCTTTCCTTTGCAACCAGAAAAGAGGGTCCAGCATTTCAGGAACCCTGACTGCAAGCAACAACCACTTGCCTTTGGGGTTGATTCCATGGGTCCCCAACTAAACACTTCCTGCATGGGCCAGAAACTGCATACCCTTCCTCCCACATAGCATTTGCGGGAGGGTACCTGGAAGATCAATCTCCTCTTCAACGAACCCTCTGTCAGGCGCCATGGCAACGTGGAAGGGAGGGTACTTGTTGTTTGACCCACTGAAATGCAACTCAGAGAGTGAGACGCAGCCCGGGACTCGTTTTTCCTAAGGTCCAGGCACTTCGCATTGCTCCTCACTGGTACTGGCTTATCATTGGGGCCTGGCCAGGGCCGAGTTGACACACCTGGATGTGTCTCAAAGAACCTGAGATCAACTTAGGCAACTCTCAAAACATGATCAAAGTTCTAGCTGACCCGTTTGAGTCCTTTTGGATGTGCAAAATACAAAACAGATGATTTTCCTGTGCAAGAGATCGGAACCTATTCGTTTGGTAGAACCCTGTGAGCAGGTCCCCTGACTCTTGAGGCTGCGAGCCTGGGGAATGTGTCAAACTTGGGAACCCCTGAGGTTGGGTTGAGGGCAGCCGTCATCGAGCATCTGAAATCCACACAAGACATGGCACCCACACAAGCCTGGCAAACAACCCTCACCAACAACCCTTGTCACGTGTGCACGCATTGGGACGTTGTGGGACTTTTGAAAGTTTAACGCCTTCGCCAGGCAAGGGATTGCAGCAACACAATCGGTGTGAATCCATCAGTCCAAACAATGACGTCAAACAACTACCAAACAACCACCAGACGCCTGCCGACCGACAAAACGAGTATGGTGCTGGTTTACTAAGCGCTTGCCCTGTTGACCAAGCGAACTTGATGCAGTCCCGTGCGAGCTCGGCGTAAGCCCTAAGTCGAGGGTTAGCCCAATTTCCAGTTCGCAATCGAAAGGGGATGTGCCAATCAAGGTGGCTGAATTCTGTCTGGGGCATCCGGCTCAACAAACATATCAGCATGCTCCATGTTTCAATCAGCGCAATGAAACTGAAAGCGAAGTGGGAACATCGAATGGCCCCATGTTCTTTGATTTCTGGCAACAGCCCAAAATAGGGAGGCACCCCAAGTCCAGCCCCCAAAGTAAAGCAGGTTGGAACTGTTGATTTCGCATCTGATTTCGCGCTTCGAAAGGGCCGAAGAAAGGGGGTGTGGCGCCTTTGACTCGTTGGGTTACACCCCTCTTCGGCAGACCAGCCGTCGGCCGTTCCAAGACATACGAACGTCGCCTCCGGGCAGGTGTAAACCTTCAAGGGCCGAATCGAAGGCAGCCAACCTGCGCGGTTGGCACGCGCACAGGGATTGGTCTACCAGAAACGCGAACAGAAGTTTGGGTTGATTCCATGTAGGGGAACCCAAAGAAAAGGGATAAAGAAGGTGCCATGGGGTTTCAGGTTGGGCAGGTCGATTCCACACAGAAACTATTGTAAATCGCCTGCAGGGTTCTTCATGCTGGGATGTGGTTGCTTACAACCAGGGCATTCAATTGCAACATGTAGTGCAATAACCCCCTGAGACTCAATGATGAATGAAACTCGCGTGAAAGGGAGCTCCAACAGATGATAACAATTGGACAGTTGGTGTCATCAAATACTGCTTGGTATGGCTTCAGACTATTACGCCCCAGCGGCTGCAGACGATTTCAGCTGAACACAACTTCATTCGACTGGTCTCCGCCAGTTTCAGCTGGCTAGAACCGCCGGAGTTTAAAGAGTGATCAAGCCTGTTTCGCTTATCCCTGGCTAAAGTCGCCTTTGGGTGTGGCTCAAGATTAAACAAGAGGGATTATCGCATATGTTAATCCATATTTCCACTTACCAGGGTACCGCATTTTTCAGCCACAGCCATTTAACTAATCACTATGGGTCATGGTCATGCCATCTTGGCCAGAAGCGCTTGTTGAAAGTTGAAAGCATGCAACAAAAAGCAGGGGTGGGCACGTCCCGCGTGGGCACGGACGAGACTCCGCACTTGTTTGCTTGAGTGCGTTGGGCATGTGTCTCACCATACACAAACATGAACGGCGAATTCACTGGGACCGAAACTTTGCGCACGCTTGAGGTGTGGCTGGAAATCCTTTCCAATAGAGTGGTTGGGGCATTTAGTGAATGTTGTTTTGTTGCATTTTTTCTGGTTGCTTACTTCCAAAAGATCTTTACTACCACAAAATTACCGTCAACACAATGCCAAGCCTGACGAATTGTAGGGAATGTGTTGTGTTCAGAAAATCAATTCCTATCCAAATCCCACCGCGATTGACTAATTGTGGTGATCTTGGTGGTGATGCGCAGCTTTGGCAACACGTACGTAAATGCCATACATGCCATACTATGAGCGGCCAAACGTGCGCAATCTGTATAGGCAAAGCAGCAAGGGTATTGAAGCTCAGTAATGCGCTTTCAAGAACAGTCTTAGAACTTACCCAGCTTTGCCCTCTGCCTAGGTTCTGTGCTCAGTTTGAGCTTGCCATTCGTTCCAGCAGAGGAATCATTGTGAAAGAATGAGATGACTATAGCGTAACCTGCGCAACCCTCTCCAAGAAAGACTACAAAAAGGTCCAAACATAGGCCATGCTGCACAATTATCCCGCGGTGTGCTTGTGGACTTCCTGTTGCCATTGTAATCAAAGGTTGGCGTCCTGACAGCGTTGGCGCCAACCACAGCGGTTCAAGAATGCGTTAGCAAAAAACGCCGATCCGCTCAGGCCACAGACAAATACAAGTTAACACCCATTGCTTCTGACTGCCTTTGGTCAATAGTTGGCGAAAGCGCTGTCTAAGAGTCGCATGCAAGTCATGTAACGCTTGAGCCACTCGAGTGTTTTTTTCTATTTGAATTTACACTGAGGTGGATCTCCAAAAGATATTGGTATATGACCAAGCTCAAGGGGTACCCACAAACCAATATGCGAATGTGTAAGAGTTGCTGCTGGTGCCATAGCAAAGCCATCCTATCTCGAGTCGTTGCCCAAGTCTCATGCAACATGAACACATCCGCAGGGACAGCCCTGTCTGCAGTGGCCAGGTTTGAAGCGCGACGCCAGGTACGTCGCGTCCCTTGGGGCACCGCGCTCCGTGGGACCCAGAAGGATCTCCACGTCTGACGCCTCCTCGCTGTCGGCTTTCGGCGAGAACCCGAGAGGCGAACCCCATGCCGAAATGGGAAGGAGAAACAAGGAACCAGTTGAGCCAAGAGGGAAGCAGACTGGGCTGTTGAAAATGGAGGGTTGGCCAATCCGATTTTGCAGAATCCCTATAGGAAAGCCACTACAAAGGGGACCGGTTCCTTGCGTAACAGGTAAGGATGAAGGCGATTCAGGA